CATAAAATTTCAAAAAAAAAAAAAGGAGAAAATATGCTTTTAAATAGGTGATGTTCTGTTTGAGTATGATGGTCCTTGGGGACCATCACTATTTTCAAAAGGTTTTACCTTTGCCTTTGCCTTTACTTTTTCTTTTGCCTGCTTTTGCCTCCTGCTGCTTGCAGCTGGCCACGTCCTTTAGCGGACGTGGTTTTCGTATGTTAAAAGCAGACGCTTAACGCGACACCTCAGGTATGAGATAGAGCGTAATAAAATATTATAATAATACGTTTTAAGAATTTAAATAGGGGATGTGAGCACTCCTACCCTAGAAAATTTTGAGATCTCTCTCTTGAACCGAATTTTTTTATCGGAAGCTCCCTCTCAAATAATTGTGGGTAAGTGACATCGTCTTTCTGAAAAATAGTCTATTTTTAATAAATAATGATATTTCCGTCTAGGATCTTTATTTTATCAGTTTTGTGTGTAAGTGACCTCATTGTCTCGAAAAATAATCCATTCTTTTTAAAAATAAAATGAAATAATTATTTCTGCTTATTATCATGAATTTTAGGCGCGATAAATTTTATGCGCACGTGACCTCATTATCTTGAAAAATAATCTTTTTAGTAAAATTGTGATATTTTATCTATGATAGAAATTTTGAATGCTGTAAATTAGAAAAATAAATTTATTTATTTTTCTTATCTATTGTTAGAAATAAATGTGATATTTTTGCTTTTAGTAAAATTGTGATATTTCTTTCTACTGTTTTGAATATTTAGACAATGTAAAATTCATATGCAAATGACTGCTTTATTATTTAAAAATTGACATTTTTGCAATTGATTATAGTATTGTTGTGAAATGTTTATTTGTGGATTGATATTCCATAAATTGTGGTAATTCCGTATTCTTGAATTTCTATAAGAGTTTTTCTATACATATTAAATTGGCAATTATGCTAGAATGCCTTTACAAACTGCTACCTTTCTAAATTTGAGCCCAAAATATTTGATTGGTTATTTTTGAAATGTTATAGAGAGTGACTGTTATTAATGGTTTAAGTGAAATTCATATTAATGATTTCAGTGATATGTTGAGTACATGATGTTGCTGCTTTCGAATGTTTAAAGAGATTTAGAAATAATTTAAGTATGCAAGTGGACTCATCCGGTTCGCCGGTGAGGTATAAGTGGACCTATTTGGGACGCCGGTAGGGATTAAGTGGTATCATCCGGTACGCCGGTGAGGTATAAGTGGACCTGCAGGGATTAAGTGAACCTGTTTGGGACGCCGATAGGGATTAAGTGGACCCATCAGGACGCTGATGGGGTATATAGGTGACCTAGTTGGGACGCCAGTAGGGTATTTTGTGAAATCCTTTGAATTATGTACTGCCGTTAAAAGTGTTATAAGCATTTCAATTACTCGGATTATACTTAATTATGCAATTATTGAAAGTGAAACTGTTGATGCATTTCTGTTAATAGATCTCATTTTGGAAAATATTGATATCTTTCAATCATGATTATTTTTAAGATTATGATGATCACTTACTGAGTAGCCAAACTCATCAAACTATGGTAAACATTTTTTCAGGATAACTACGGATTCATTTTGAGTGCTAGTCAAGATCAACCTTGGAAGATACTGTTGTTGTGCTAGCTTTCTTTATTTACTTTGTAAGACCTCGCCACTGTAAATTTGTCCTATCAATAGATGTATATATGTTTTGTCCGTCACATCTCAGGAATAACAGTATTGTAAATTCTTGGGGTGTGACAATACTTCTTTACAAAATAATAGTGAAAAGACCTTACAATGGAGCATTGGGCTTTGGTGCTTCCAAAAATACATTTTTGGATCTAAACTTAAGGGGTTTTAACCTTCCCTTTTATAGAGAAATGATGGGGAGTTCAACATTTTAATTCTCAACTAGCTTTTGAGAAATAATTCTCCCTCGTGCTTATGAACCAACTTTCAACTTTTTTTTCTTTTTTTTTAATAACTGCTACAATATTACATTGAGAGAAGACTTATTTAAGAAATAAGCATATAACATCTGTCATTGAATTCTTCCATGAGAGTAGGAGTGCCAATACAAGGCCCCCTTGCCACACATGATAACATCAACTACCACCTTCATGAATCTGGAAAGAAAAATAGATTTTAAACCTTAAAAGCAGATTATTTTAAACTTTGCTTTTAAACCTTTTCTATCTTTCATTTTTAATTATTTAAAATAATATATTTTCAATATTTAAATTCTAATATTTTGAAATTCAATAATTGTAGTGGTCGAGATAATCTATTTGTGAAATTTTAGATCCAAAATCAATCAGTAAGATGGAGTTCTGGACATGTCCACATCCGAATAATACATCATTAAAACTTTTCCCTCCAAGGAAAGGCCCTATATTTTTGTAACTACAAGGGTCTTACGTCATGAATGAAGTGTCCTTTCTTTCAAGTTCTTACCAACTAATATAAAATGTAAAGCATGGTTACTATAGTTATCCTATGTCAGTAATGGAAAGTTCCCTTATCAAAACAAGTTATATAACACAAGAGTAGAGTCATACCTTGCAACAAATATATTTATATTCATTGTCACGCATGCTAAACCTGATCAAATACGAATCATCCATCAAAAGTAAACAAATTGTGGATTAAATATTTATGGGTGTGGTTTGTATAAGGTTGAGGCTCTAAACAATCAAAGTAAGGCGCACCTTCAATAGTGTCGAAAGATGTTTCGGTACTTGTGATGGCCTGAAAAATTGTTTTCATCTCAAATTATTAGATTTAAAGCTTAAAAAATAGTACGGATCAAGCAAATCTATAAAATCTTGAAAATTGACCGTCCAAAAAATGCATTACAAGATGCACTATTTCCAATATTTGAAATCTATTTTTTCTCATTTCCATACATCTTGATGTCAAGATGATCGATTTGAAAATTTCTGGGCATCGAAACAAATTGTAGTGAATTTTTTAGTTGCGCCTAAATTTGATTGTTTTGGGCTTCGCCCTTATCAAAAAAAATTTCTAAGAGGGATGGATTATGATCCTTACTTTGCTAAGAGGGATGGATTATGACACTATGCAATCAATATATTCATCAAAAGACATCCCTTGTGCTAGATTAGATACCTCCCTTTGTATTGAACATAGAAAGAAAAAAGAAGGAAGAGCATTCCTTTTACTAGATTTGATAACTCCTTTGTTCTAGATTAGATGCCTCACCTTTTTATAAACCTTAACTATTATCTTAAACGGATTGCACACTTGTATTTTTATAGCCATATTAACAAAGCCAAGAAAAGTTCCAGTTTATTTTAGGCATAGTGGTGTATCCTCATTTTTATATGCTTTCATACTCCATTAACTTTTAGATATCATTTGAGCACATGCCATCACAAAACCTGAATTTGACAAAGCACCCATAGATTCAAAACACAAAATATAATATAATTGCACATACAGCTTCTCTCTCTCTACAGGAACCTATGTTTTAAAACCCAGCTATATTTTATCCTGATCGTCAATTTGGATGGAAATCGATCAGAATCGAATCAATTCCCAAATGGTATGAGCCCCAACTTGATTCCCCTTAAAACCCCACTTATAGAATTTTTTTTTCCTCTTTTCAAGCTTATGTAATATTTGTTTAGATTCTCACTATATCCCCACCCTTTAAAGCTTATTTTAATTTTCATTTTATTTCATTTATTTTTTTAATATCTTTGACCCAATCCAAATAAAGCCCATCCAACGTTCCTACACAGATCTGTAAGTGAACGATCAATCCCACCAGTCTAGGCTTTGAAACACTAAGTATATAAAATTGATAAAATTTTAGAATGTAGAGCAGGGTGCCATACCGATAACTTCAGAAAGTAGGGGTTTCAATAGTGAAAAACTATATGATGATCAATGTGATCTTGGTATCCCAGAGATCACAAAATTCGTCACCGTTCCACAAATGGGTTAGGTTGGGTGGCGGTGGAGATTTGGTCCTACCAAATAAGTCATTACCTCTGCTGTACCTTTCGCTTCCCTCCATCACCATCTAAACCCGTTGATTAGACCAGGATGACCGCTACGCCCATATTGTTACCATGGTCAAGTGGATTATAATACACTTTTCCTGCATTAAATACCTTAACCATAGGCAATAAATGCTTGTTTGGACATTATCACCTTAAAATTTAAAGAATAAAATTCAATGAAACTGTAAGGGACAAAAGGCATCCAAAACAATCTTATCTATTTTTTGTATTATATTTTCGCAATTTCTATAACAAACAGATTCCCAGTCCCCAAAATTTACAACAGGCACTCTAGATAACTCTAAGTTACAGAGACAACGATACCCACAAGATGAAGGAAATAAAAGGAAGGACAAAATTAAGGCAAAGGACTGACTACTACAACAATTTTTCACACCCCTACAAGTGTCGGACACGCATGTGAAAGAGAGTGTGTTGTGCTGTATGCACGTGTATATTGCAGAGAAGAATGTGTGTTGTGCTGTCATATGGCGCAGAGAGAGAGAGAGAACTTTATAAATACGAAGCAAACAGGGCGAACACAGCTGCAACATTCAGCTGTTACGGAAGACTTTATTGATGAACTCCTTAAGGTTTCTGCAACTCAATATAGTTAGTCCTTCGAGATCCAGACCACCCAAAGATTTCTCAGCTGATTTAGGAATAACACATTTCTTATACCCCAATTTGGAGAGTTCATTTACCCGCTTTTCTATCCTTGGCACCTGAATAAAACAGGACATATGAAAGCTCTTTCAGTTATCAGCTGCACCAGAGTGTGGAGAGAGAGTTCCAAAACAAGACAGGCAGGAGCTCTTAATGTGTTGAATTAGGACTATGCACATTGAGCTAGAGACGTTCTTTCTTGTGATAGATAATAACAATAACTGTAAATGGAGAATTAAACTTTAGGTGGTTCATATTGTTGTGATGCTGATCCACTACAGTGGACTATCCAAACATTGTCACTAGGAATATAGTATCCAACTACATGGAATCTTAGAATCTCTTTGCACAAAACCTGTTTTTATGATGTAAAAATTCAAAAGTGGGACCTAGATAATCCAACAACTTGCTAACTGGGAAAACAGAAAGACTCTGACATCGAATTTGTCACTACAATTATTTGGTAGAAAATACTGGCGAGCTTCCTTTCACTTCCAAGAATGGTGATTTCTAAACTAAAGTTTCAAGGTGAAAAATAATCTACAATGGTTCCATACACCAAGTGACTCCACTATCTAAGGGTAAGAACATGATGCCCACAAGGATGCCATGGATTAATACGTATCTTATCCATACGACATGATTAAAGCAGCATTTATTAAAGGGAAAAGTTTATATAGAGCCGAGGTTCTGAAAAATCAAATTTGAGCCTACCTAAAAAATTTCACTAAAAGAGGTTGTTTTGATGCGCCCAATTATCCTCAAATTGATCATCTCGACATCAAGATGCATGGACATCAGAAAAAAATGTTTTGAAAATAATGTATTTTGTAACGCATTTTTGGACTGTCAATTTTCAAGATTTTCAAGTTTCCATAGATCTATCGATCTACAGTATTTTTGAAGCTTTAAACTTTATAAACAAAGATGAAAATATATTTTAAGGCCATCACAAATATTTCCAGTATTGAAACCACATTTCTCGATACTATTTGAAGGTAGGGTCTAATTTGATTGTTTAGACCCTAGGCTCTATACAAACTACACCCTTTATTAAATACAAACTATTATTGAATATACAAGAAGAAAGAATGCCAAAAATTTTAGTTACAATAAGTTATGACATATCCAGTGACTCAAAGGAAAATTGCATACCGTGCGAAGCTCGCCACCAAGGCCAACCTCTCCAATAAATGCTATATCGTTTTGAAGGGGAAACTCCAAAAAGCTGTTTGAAATCAATGAAGACAAAAGTGCCACTTAAAGAGCGTCTGGGAAAGGAATACAGAGCTAATGCAAGTACTTCAAGGCAAAAACCATTACATTCATAAGGTATTCCAACAACAGTACATTAAAAAGAGATTTACCTGCTGCAAATTGCAGCTGCTACCGCAAGATCTCCTGCTGTCTCTTCCAACTTCAACCCACTTACTACATTGAGAAAAATGCTCTAACAAAAAAATAGTACAATTTATGTCATCATAATTAATTGGGAAAGTTTATCGTAACCCAAATGACCACAAAAATATGTGTTCATAAGGATTATCATCATCCTATCTATGGGTTGGACAGTGATGGGGGCAGAGAGAGAGAGAGAGAGTGCTCGAATCTGAAAAACTGGGCATCATAACTAAATAAGCCTTGTCTATTTATGATTAGGGAAACTACATAATGAAACTATTTACCTTTGGTATAAGGTGGTCACAATTAATCTTGACCATTGGATGTGAAATTAGGTGGCTGCATTTATTTCATTGACTTAGCTCAAAGTTCAAAAGAAATTTTCTCGAACTTTGTGACACACCCAAGCTATCAGATTTCACATCAGATATTTGTAAGTAATTGTGACCTACTAAGATAAATGGTCTCATTGTATGCAATCCCTTATGATTAATAGTAAGTCATTGACAAGTATACAAGTCATTGGCAGCATTAAACAAAAAACACAATCAAAATAACACAAACTTACATTTTCTTGTAGTTTCAAACCTGCTTGCTTTGTCAAAACCTGAGACAGTCATTTCTTGAATTCAGTAAAGGTTATTCAAAGATCAAAGACAAAAACTAAAAGAATACAGGTTAAGCATGTGGGTAAATTAACATATGTACATCCATTTGTAAAAGTGGAGGCTAAAGTATTTAGTGTTCCATCCCCAAAATTTTTTCGTCTTCTTGATATCTTCAACCCTCCATTATAGTAACTTCATGAACAGAAGAGAATCCCAATTAAAATTAAATGCTAAAATCACTTCAGATGAACATGATGCACTAGCAATGAGGTTTTGACAAAACTCACAAAACATGAAAATAAGAAAAAATAAAATTGATGGATAGGAGAGGAGTACTTGTGCTTTAATTTTGCATTATTTTAATAGAGAGGGAATCTTGACCAATTTGACTATCATAGTCCAGTAGAATACCATAATACCAATAAATTTGCATGAAAAATAGTCCACATAATAATTATAAATATTGCATTACTCACAGAAATAATCATTTCAGCTCTAGAAGCCGAGACCCCGTTTATTTGTTTTGCAGCTGTGGAGCCAGGGCAGCACAATGCCTGCACAGTATTAACAAATCCTCTAAAAACCAATTATATGGTAAACAATGAATATTTAGAAACAAAACTATGAAGACATATTTATGAGTATCTACTTTGCAACATGCAGTAAACATTATACTTGTAAGTTGGTGAGAAACCTATTTTCCAAAGAAGAAACAGAAATTTCATGTGTGGAGCCCTTCAAAGTTCACTATACCATAATTATTATTCAACATAAAATGTTAAATCTCAAAGATAGGGTTTCATCTACAATACTCAGAAACAATCGCAAATGCTGATGTATGAAGCCCAAGTTACAAATACGCCCTTTCAAATTCTAAAACTGATATCAAATAATGGATCTCTCAAGTGCGCTGAAGCACAATAATGTCATGTATTGAGGCAAATGAGTTCCCCAAGTAGTAGTTGATCTTCCATTGCAGTGCATTAATAATCCAACTTTACAAGGAACAAAATAAATTGGATTTTAGCTAGCCATATTGAACCATTTGTACAAATACATATTAAAGTTCTACTTAAAACTGTATACAACCGTTTAACATTATGATATAATTCGCTGTTGCCATTTTTTTCACCCAAAAGCCACCAATAGTGTTTTCAACATATAAACCCTAGAATAGAGAAGCCAACAAGATTCATACACATGTTATTTGTTTCCTTGAATTGAATACCATGTTGCCTGATTTGATTACAGAGGAAATATATTTAGCATAAAATGTTAAAACAATTCATCAAAACTATAAATAGTGAAAGAATAAAAAGTGTACCTAAATGATGTTGTGGTCCACGCCTAAAAGAAGCGTTCAAAATGTTGTTGTCAATGCTCAAATTTAGTATTTGAAAATGGACAAAGTCAAAATCATCCACTAATTGCAAAGAATGCAAATCCAACATCCATAGATTCCAAAAGCGGCCCGCCCTTCTTGATTTTTGGGGGGGAGGATTGGTTTTGGGTTTTATGTGATTTAAACCCCCTTCTTTTGCATTTTAGAATGATAAAAACAAGAAAAAACATGTATTTTTTGCATTTCAGTTAGATCAATCGGTTAATTCTTTAATTTTTTTTAATCTTCCTCTTATGTGTGTGGACTATGGAGTATAGACTGGGATGGTAATCACCATAATGGCATGGACTATGGAGCGTGTAGATGGAGTTATGGACTATGGACTATGCGTCATATCCAGTACTGAATTGGAATGTTGGATTATATTTTCCAATTTTTCTTAGTGTGTTATTAACTAATTGTCCAAATCTCAAATACTTTGGTTTGTCTTTGGAGTTTGGATTGATTGAACATAAAAAATGTATTAAAAATGCCTCGATATGCATTTTTTATACATAATTTTGTCCTAGAACTAGTTTTTCGGACACCTCCCACCCATGTTATTCCATCTAATCCGGGAGGCCGCCCAAGCCTCCCCCCCCCCCCACCCACCCCCGCCCCCCCGGCTGCATAGACACCGTCCGGCATTTTTTGGAACATTGCCAACATCATAGGAAATGGGTATGCTGCAGCCCTCATACCTTCTCCACATCAAGGTTTGCAAAAACACCATGAATTGGAAACTTCGTAATTTTTTAAACGCCCCCCCCTCCCCTCCCCAACAAAAAAAAGGACCCCTCTTCCCACTTGATAAAAACTGACTTTCAAAAGCACTCAGTCAAAGCACCAAGGCCTGATCCTGGGGGTCACACTTTCTTGCCTCATGCATGAGGCATTTACCACACTGCACAAAACCCCAATCAAAAAGATTTCTTGCTCATGAACAATAGGCTGGGGGCATTTTTGTCATTTTCTCAGCCAGTAAGTGGAAAATGCATATACCCCAGAAAACCTCCATGAAGTAATTCACTAACTTATTAGGCTTGAACAGGATAGAAAACTATAAGATATTTGAAATCGGAAGTCCAGCAATAAGATTCTTTCAACACGTGATTTTTAGTGTTTGGATTTTATGTATATTGAAGCAACATAAATAGGTGGCAGCCAACCTTCAGCAACATTAGGCCAATATCGATGCTAAGTGATTAAACAAATCCAGATGCCTATGACAGTTGAGGTGAGGAGTAATGGATGGTGGTCTAAAATTTCTTAGGAGGGTGGGCTTGGAAAAAGGCTTGCTTTTTCGAAGAAGACCAGAATACCCTTTTACGGTAGTTTAAATGCAAAAGACTCTAAACCAAAGTGTGTTATTGTGTCATTGGTCCCGGATGAACAAACTCCTACAGTAGAAAAGCATAACTCTTCAGGCAGCTTTTACCAAACATAGATTCAGACCTATTCATAAAATCCTTCATACAAAAGGAAAGTTTGCAAGACCCCATTCAACTCAACAAGATCTAAAATGTCTACTCACTGACTCTCACGGATTCAAATAACTTTCATAAATATTTCAAAGTAACATAAACACTTTTATTATTCTACGTAAACAAAAGCATTTAGATATACCCAGAATATCAACTGCAAAACCAAACTGTATCTAATTACCTAAAATTTGTCAGGCTTTGCGCCACTTTAAACTATCAACAAAGATGCCTAATTATTTGCCATGCACACATAAAAACACCAGGGTTCCAAATATTCAGTAAATATATCCAATAGGTATGGGAATAAGGGATACCTGAATCTCAATGAGAAATGCCCGCGAACCATCAACAATCACAGTAACTGCAAGCCCCGCTAAAACATCAGAATCACCAATATTCTCACTTAAGAAGAACAAACTTGGATTGGTGACTGGTCGAAGACCACAATCTAACATTTCAAATATGCCAAGCTGATAAGAAGTAAACAGAGTAAATCAGGACATCCCAGAGAATATTGAATGAAAATCTGAAATGACATCATCAATGGTAATATATAATATTTGGGGTCATGAATATCAGAAACATGCAAGTTTGCACTTTTCATTACCATTTTTCCACTTTAAAAAACTTGGAAGAACAAGAAACATAACCGAGTACTAAGGTTGATGGCCCACTATGAGAAATACATCACAGCCAATATTTTAAAACTCAGATCGGCCGGGTGAATCGAACATATTGGAAAGCGGTATGGATCGGCAAATCACCGATCCGGATGGTCGATTCGACCAGTTCTCTGACATGAGAATTAATCAATAAAAAATAAATAAATAAATAAAAAACAAATGAAGATTGCCCCATTCTCTAACAGGACTGCCCGCGAGTCTGGACTAATTCCTAGTTCCAACTAGGAACTTGTTCATCCGGGACCAATTCGCAATTGGAACATTGATCACAACTACATATTTTGCCACAATAGACTCAGAAATTTCATCTGAAGTCCCATATCAATTATATCATCTGTAAAAATTAATATCCTCATGCAAAAACAACCAGAATGGATAGGAATTGAGTTGGGAGAAACTATATGATACAAATAGTGATTTCAGCAACAAAATCACAGCCCAAGGGTATATAAAAGTAATAGCAGAAAATAAAAATTTCAGGGTACATAATAGCGATCAAATAACCCTTCTTTATTGATCTCTCTCATGAACTTCGCATCCAACGAACCTGTTAACAATCATCGATTTGGCAGTAAATTGCTAGTCATGGTGTCTATGATCTATGTTCTCATAAACAAGAACAAAAATATACAGCAAAATTACCATTTTCTTCGAATAAATATATCTGGTTCAAGAGATACAGACCAATGATAATGTATCCGGAAGAACGACAATGACAACGTGCATCTTAACTAAAGAATTACTTTTTCCTGTGAAGACTACATATATAAAGCTTTATTATCATTTTAGCTATGATTGAGGAAGTTTGACAGATGTAAAACCAACATAAAGCAAGACAAATTACATTTTCACCATGCCAGTTTAAGGATTGTGGATTGCCATCAGAAATTATTTTCCAAGTTATCAATGAATAAGAAACTCCACCATGGCCGATCCCAATCCTAAATGAGAAAGGAGGGTTGTGTTAGGTTGGCAGCAAAACTTTTGTCACATCTCAGTTTGGACTTACGCTGGGAAGGTCAACGATTGAGGCTATTTTCATACATAGGCAATTCATTGAGAAGTTTAAGGAACAGATAAAAGACCTCCACATGGTCTTTATTGGTTTAGAGAAAGCACATGATAGGGTACCTAGAGAGTTAATTAGGTGAGTGATATGTACGAGGGAATGCTAACTAGTGCTAATGGAGAGACAAGTAAGTTTTTAGCGACAGTATCTACATCACAAATCAGTGTTGAGCTTATATCCTTTTGCCTTGGTTATAGAGGAGTTAACTAAGCATTTACAGGATGAGGTGTTGTGGTTTACGTAGTTTGTGGATGCCAAAGCTTTTATTGATGAAACTAGATATGGTGTCAAGATACAGTTGGAACTTTGGAAGGATACTATAGAATCTAAAGGTTTTTAAGATTATATTTGGCAAACAGAATTTCAATATTCAGATATTTAAAATTTTCAATAATGGCATTACTGGCTTTTTACTTATTTGAATTATATATTATTTTGATATATATATAAATATATATATATATATATTGGGGCATGTTTGACTTCTTTATATCATTTCTTCAGGCACAATGTCAACACAAACCAGACTAGCGCTCCAATAAATCCAAGTGTTTTGAATGAAAATGTTCAACAGCCCAAAACACAACACGTTAGATATAAAGTATCCAACTAAAAAATATGAAAAAAAAATGAAAGAAAAATTTTAAAAATTTAAAAAGTAGATATGAAAATAGAATTAGAGTGGAAAGACAATGAAGATAAACTAATCAGTAAAACTTCAACATTATTCCCTCATTTTATTGAATAGGAAAAACCTAAAAGCTCATTTGTTTCTTAATATATAAAAAAACCCATTAACCATTGCAATTCATCTCTCCGTACAAGCTAAGCTCTCTCTCTCTCTCTCTCTCTCTCTCTCTCTCTCTCTCTCTCTCTCTCTCTACTACTACTACTACTACTACTACTACTACGTAACTACTAAGTAACGTACGTAACGT